CCTCGGTAGTTAGAGGTCACTATGTTAGATAATGGGAGTTCTTGTATTACTAGCCAGATGATCTTCAATGTCAAACCCCATCACCCACCAGGCCAAAACCACCACAAGACATGTTTATATATATATATATATATAGATCGTCCGATGTCGGATCGGATCGAAACGCAGACCATGTCGAACCCAAAATCGTAGAGAAAATCAAGTTCACAGATCAGTTGACAATTGTGGGTTTTGATAACCTGCTCAGTCAAATTCGAGGGTTGAGTGCGAATTGGTGGCAGGCATTATCGGTAGATCAAATGGTGAAGACACGCGTTGGGGCGATCGCAATTTGGTGGCTGATTGTCTGTGATTCTCTTCCCTCTCATCCGGGGCCCCGCATCCTCAAGCAAATGGACAAGAGTCGCCGATCTTCTAAATAAGCTCATGCACTCTCCTATGTTCAGCTATGTTAGTAGCTTCGGTTAATTTCTCCTGCCGAGGAAAACTGGGAAAATCCCGGTGGCACAAGCTGCATGGTTAGTCCTGGGCGCATAATACATGGATACCTACTAATGCCCCAGACCATTATGCGGGGTATATTCGACACGGGCCAGAAAAACATATTGAAATGGAGCCATCACTCTCCAGTGTTGCATAAACAGGGCCTCGTGACACGCATTAGGCTGCTTCTGGCGAGCTTCAGAGGTGGAACAAAACATTCCATTTGAATATCAATTTCCCCGCAACTAATACTGACCTGTATACAATTAACGAACCCCATGGCTAGTGCCGGCAGATTCCTCCCCGCATCCCACGGACACGATACTTGAAGCTTTACGAAGCTTTATGAAGGCACCAAAAATAATAGTCCTAAGCCGTCTTTGGTTCCATTTGATCCGTAACCTGTGACCTGTCTGTTTTACAATAATCCTCTTAGCAAGACAACTCGGTAAAAGCTTCGGCAAGATCGTTGCACTACTCCGTATATCCGCCAGCATTCAGCACAAGGCTTCATCTCATGACAATTCTTCTTACCTTGGAATTCTGCAAGATCATGAATACAACGACTGCATTGGTTTATCCACGTTGACGCAAGGCTTCAGGTCGAGTAATATCTTATAAGGTCTTTCTGTCTTGAAAGTCTTAATGAGCTCCTTTGAGAAGATTGGCCTGTTATATAGCACCACTATGCAATTAATGTACTTCTCTGCTATGTCAGTTAGATCCAGACTGTCCCATAATGATAGCCTTGGAGTATCATACAGTTTTAGAAAAACTGTCGCTTAATTTGATGTTATGTCTGCTTCCAGTATTAACCGAGTTCTGAAAGACTAAAATTCACTAGGTTATAGTACCAAGTATAATGTATAATCTAGCTATAATTATTGGAGGAAATTTCACGCCACTTTACTGCTGCATGTGACGATAAATATGAGAAATAGACAGTGTGATGAGTCGGATCAAGACTATAAAAGGGGGACTTGACGGCTTGCAGCCCTCCAACATACCTGTTTGCTTCAGTGGCCATTTCAGCATCTCACTGCTGGTTCCAAGACACACACGGGCGTCCTCATCCCACTGTCCCCCACGAAAAGCCACCAAAGATGTTCCCAGAACTAAGCACTGAACGTGCTAGCGTGTTTGTTCTTGGCCTTGTTGCCACAGGCTCCCTTGTCGCTGCTGGGCCCTGCGACATCTACTCGGCTGGTGGCACGCCTTGCGTCGCCGCCCACGGCACCACTCGCGCCCTATACAACAGCTACAGTGGCCCACTCTACCAGGTAAAGCGCGGCTCTGATGGTGCCACAGCTGACATTGCGCCTCTTTCGGCCGGCGGTGTCGCGAATGCCGCCGCACAAGACTCCTTCTGTAATGGCACTACCTGCGTTATCACCATCATTTATGACCAGTCCGGCCGCGGTAATCACCTCACCCAGGCTCCGCCCGGTGGCTTCAGTGGCCCGGAATCTAATGGCTACGACAACCTGGCTAGCGCGACTGGCGCACCGGTCACGCTGAACGGTCAGAAGGCGTATGGTGTCTTCATCTCGCCCGGCACCGGCTACCGCAACAACGCCGTCAGTGGCACAGCGACAGGAGACGCAGCGGAGGGCATGTACGCGGTCCTTGATGGGACTCATTACAATGATGCCTGTTGCTTCGACTATGGTAATGCTGAGACTAGCAGTCGTGATACAGGCAACGGCCACATGGAGGCCATCTACTTTGGTGACAACACTGTCTGGGGCACTGGCTCCGGCAGCGGCCCGTGGATCATGGCTGATCTTGAGAACGGCCTGTTCTCTGGCTCCAGCCCTGACAACAACTCTGGCGACCCGTCGATCTCCTACCGGTTCCTCACTGCGATTGTCAAGGGGAAGCAAAACCAGTGGGCTATCCGCGGCGCCAACGCTGCGTCCGGCTCGCTATCGACGTTCTACAATGGTGCGCGCCCAAGCGTGTCTGGCTACAATCCAATGAGCAAAGAGGGTGCCATCATTCTTGGCATCGGCGGCGACAACAGCAACGGCGCCCAGGGCACATTTTATGAGGGCGTGATGACCTCCGGCTATCCGTCCGATGCCACCGAGAACTCGGTGCAGGCCAACATTGTAGCAGCCAAATACGCCACCGCATCGCTGACCAGCGGCCCCAAGCTCACTGTCGGTTCCTCAATCTCGCTGCAGGCCACCACACCCGGCTACACGACGCGGTACATCGCACACTCCGGCTCTACCGTCAACACTCAGGTCGTCTCATCGTCCAGCTCCACCACCCTCAAGCAGCAGGCCAGCTGGACGGTTCGCACCGGCCTTGCCAATAGCAACTGCTTCTCATTTGAGTCCAAAGACACCGCCGGCAGCTTCCTACGGCACTACAACTTCGTGCTCCAGGTCGGCGCCAACGACGGCACGAAGCAGTTCCACGAAGACGCCACGTTCTGTCCGCAAGCCGGCCTCAACGGCCAGGGCAATTCGGTTCGGTCCTGGAACTATCCCACCCGCTATTTCCGCCACTACAACAACGTTCTCTACGCCGCGAGCAACGGCGGTGTTCACACCTTCGACGCCACCTCTTCGTTCAACAACGACGTGAGCTGGGTGATCAGCACTGGCTTTGCCTGATTCCTGGCCAAATTGATAGGCACTGTGCGAATTGAACTCTATCCCTAAACGCTAGTTAGGGGTATAGTCGATGGTTGGCTAGGGTGGTGCATACCCCTCTCGAGTTCTAATGGTTAAGCTAAACTTTCTTAATAAATCAACCTTTATTACTCAAATACACTTCTACATTCCACTGCTAAATAATAGAACCTAGAAGAGTGGTAGAATTACTGTAAGAAGCAGGATTACTAAGTACAGCCCTTTTAGGGAGATAAATTATTAAGACCCAGAGAACATAGTTTCACCCTTAGAGGAAGGGACCGGGCAGAGAACTAGCTAATAAGTTGTTTGCCTTCCAGGGTGCAAAAGAGGGTAATAGGAGTAGGTGAACTCATATCGCCCAGTGTTACCTACGAGCGGAGAATTCTGCCTATGGCCCCATCCTGGCCCCCAGTTAAGGCATGTGGGGTGTCTAGTTGGTTTAATTATACTTGCATGAGAATGATCTATCAGCAATTTAGATCAAGTTTGAATCCTGCATAGTCATACATTGTGCCTGTAGTGGCATATATAATCGTCCCATTGAGTTGAGTATCACAACCGGGCCTGAGACCACACATCATACCTCATGTTCAGTTGTCTGGGAGAGCTGCACATAGCTTTGGTTCTTCTTTTCTTGCTAGTGACAATCTTCACTAGGCCATTTGGCTAGGAATATGTCACCATTTTGCTCATCCCACTTATGCTCACAAGTCTTTGGTTCTATTTGGAGATAATTGGCCTTACCCAACCACCAATATAACTTGGTCTATATACCTTGTGTCTGTGTGGTCTCGGATGTTGAATCGATATTGCGGTGTCACATTGGGCCATCTCCTTTCATCTCTTTGCTTAATAAGCCTGCACTCAACACCAAGCGTGCTGACCACATCCAGACAAGAAAGACCTAACGATGTATAAAGAACATCCACAAGAGCTCTGTTGTAGGCAGCGAGTACTTGATCTCGTTGGTCTGCAGAGACTGAATTGATAAGTCCAAGCGCACCGGTGTTCCGTGTTACCTTCTTGTCTAATTGTGGTACGCCATGGCCAGATAGCCGACAAGCTTGGTGAGCAAACCGTTTTGCGCAACAGATAAGCCAATGATACTACCAAGCAGTTGAGCAGATTTCAAAAGGACTAGGGCAACAGGCACCGTGGAATCCTCTAACACGGTGTGGACAGCGATGAAACGGTGGTTGGAAAGCTAGGCCAATGCCGATCAGGTACATGACCTGATAGGATATCCACTTTCCAGCAGATGCAGCTGGCTTTATAGTCGACTCCTCCGTTAAATGATCTTTTTGGGGGATCCTTTTCCGCACGACACCATGCTTCCCCTCCACCTCGTATCGCCGTCCTTTATTGCAACAGACTCGTCGGAGATCGGACGAGATACGGTGTTTTTGGTAATTTGTTCCCAGATATTTTCGAGCGACCTGCTCTCGCATGAGCCTTCAAGCTGAATATCTCCACTTGAAGTGCAGCTGGTTCGTACAGTGGATCACCGCCTGTCTATGACGTTGATATTTGGTTCTAATGCGGTCCGTCCCTGACGCGACACCCATGCTAGGATGCTAAGTAACCAGTCGACTATAATATGGCAGCAAAGTTATTCCTGCTACTATTTCCTGATTTGCATTGCATTTATGATTTGTAATCTCACAGTGCGACTTTCCTTGCATAGTGTTCTACCGATTTTGGTTTGAAAATAAGTCAATGACGTCAAAACAGTGTGCTCCTAAGTTATAAGTATGGCATACCGGTTCAGTTTCTCAGCCTTTGCTGGCTTCTCTTTATTATCGGTTTTGCTTTCGCTCGTTCTTCGATACTATCCGGAACCACCGGTGTCTGGTTGATGCACAGCCCATGGCAATGCTGGTCCTTGGTTACAGGGCGCTTTTCGTCTTATTTACCTTCTTGACTGTCTGCCTCGGGCAGGTCAATCAGACGCAGTATGATGTGATTGTAATCGGCGGTGGACCTTCTGGCCTTAGTGCAGCCAGTGGATTGTCGCGTGTCTTGAGAAAAGTGATATTGTTCGATTCCGGAGAGTACCGAAACAATCCCACAAGGCACATGCACGATGTCATTGGAAACGACCGTATGTATCTTTTATTACCACATTCTGCTTGCCTACAGCCGTGGTTCACACTTAATCAGATGTTGTGCCCACCGCCTTCCGAGCTGAAGCAAGGAAGCAGATATCCTTTTACAACGTGACCACCTTTGTAGATCAAAAGGTTACAAAGATCCAGTCTACCAACAACAGCTTCAGTGCTACCGTGGCAAATGGTACAACCTTTACAGCGCGCAAGGTTATCTTAGGTAGCGGACTGAAGGATGACCTTCCCAATGTCCCCGGGCTCCGTGACGCCTTTGGCAAGGGTATTTTCTGGTGTCCGTGGTGTGATGGTTTCGAGCACCGTGACCAGCCAGTTGGCGTTCTCGGTAACCTATCGGATGTCTATGATAGCGTCAAAGAACTGTATCCAACACTCAACAAGGACATACGAGTCTATTCGAACGGTACCAACAACACAGCCCAACGGACACGCATTGCCAGCAAGGATCAAAACTGGGAAGGAGTGTTTAAGGCATACAATATCACCGTCATCAACAAGCCTATCCTGAATATCACTCGCATTCAGAACGGGAGTATCGTCCAGGATGAGGCTATTCGTAGAGAGTTCGACAAGTTCCGAGTCTATTTCACGGATGGAACCTTCGAGGAACGGGGTGCTTTCATTACAAACTACGCAACTTCACAGGCGTCTGAGCTGCCGAAACAGTTGGGTGTAGGCTTCCTGGGAAACAAAATGAACACGACGGCTCGAGGTCTGCAAACAACTGTTAAAGGAGTGTGGGGTGTTGGCGATGCCAACAGCGACAACAGCACCAATGTTCCCCACGCAATGTCCAGCGGAAAGACAGCGGCTGTTTTTTGTCATGGTGAGACTGAATTCCAAATATGGATTGCAGATATGTTTCTAACTGAATCCAGTTGAACTGGCTACCGAAGAGTTGGCGCAGACTAGCGGAGCCTCAGCAAAACGAGATATGATGAGTCATGGACTTGCACATGAGCGTGTCGAACATCAGATGGGCAACGAGATTCAAGACATCTATAACAGATTGAGACGGCGTTAAGAAGAATGCCTGCCCCAAAAAAGAGTTATCTTTGCTATCCACATTCTGCATCATTGATGCCGACCTCGGCACCCTCATTACGGCGGCATACAGATGACATGAAGAGCTTCCCACGTATTGATAGTGCTCAAACATCTCGTGAAGCATGGGTAGAGATTGACTCCCAACTGCCTCGGTACTGGGTTATATTGTCGGAGTCATATTTGGGAAAGGATTAGTCGAGCGCGTCTCCTCAAGCTACAATTTTTCTAAAAAATGTTCCACGAGCTCATTTGCAGCATCGTTGGGAGTCAAAGTGCCATGACCATCCTTCACACTCCAGCACGTCCCGGGCAGTGGAATATTTTCTCTGACAGTAGGTGAAGATCCCAACGGAGCTTCTGAACAAGAAGAGCATCTCTTCGTAGGATAAACTTGCACGATTGGCACAATAGTACAAACCCATTATCTGCCAGGCCTTTTTCCGCCCCGCGTCGTCCACAGCGCAATGGTTTGAGTTTGACATCGGAAGCATTCGATGGAAAGATCTTCCAAGTCACCAAGATTGTCAATTGCCAACTTTGTCATATTCTCGAAGTGTAACCTGCAGGACTCGGAACACGAATATGTGAGGCTATCCTGATCGATACATCTTGAGGCCAGCTGAAGGGGGAATCCTTCGTTCCATAATGCCATCTTTTGAAGTCGAAAACAATCCTCCCCGAAGGTTTTATTACGTACCTTCAATGCATGGAGGACCATCAGAATATCTGTGCCGAAACAAGTCAGTCAGTTTCTTTCGATGCCAGGTTGCAAATTGCCTACCTAATGGAGGCATCTCATCCCTTGTCCATGCCTATGTGCCATGCTGCCCGTACGGCTTTTCCGATAATTCACTTGATTCAAGCCCTGACGGGCCCAGGGCTGGTAAATGAGTCCACCAAACGGAAAAGTGCTGGATGGCCAGTGAGACATAGATTGACCATCGACGTTCCTCTACCATGGACTGTCGGGCTATGGGGTCTAATTCAGTCTTAATTTCGTGGACATATTCGGCCTTGAATAGACCTTTCACTTTTGAGTCTGGTTCACGTTCAAGAAACATTGGAGCAGTTGTTTATGTTGCCGGCATTCCTGCGCAGATATGATGGGTGCCCCATTTCGAAGCAATGGCATGGCCTCAGAGAATCCCTCGACCACAAGTCTCTCCCTGTCCACCATGATGCATCTGCGTTATGGTCGCGAGACAGAAGAGCAGGGTTTGAAGGTGTGAATGGCTTCCCAGGACAAGGCCTCGCCACCAAGATTGATAAGGTCCCATCAGTTTTGCTACATGAATTGGTAAGTCATTTCCCCACAGGCCTCTAGCACAATGATGTCAGCCTATCACAGTTCACGTCAATGATCCCTGCTGGCTACTAGAGTACTATGACGACATCTGTCTCTTTAGGATGCATTCAACTACATGGCTCGCCAGTTCATCCTTACAAGACTATAAGAATGAAAGGCTGAGTATTATTGTCCAATACCGCTGTCCACGTTTGCTGATCTAGAGTATGAAGCTTGGTTCCACCGACTTTTCTATCACATACTAACCTAATTATCTACTGCGCAACTGATCCACATTTTTGGCGTTCAGTTTTATGAAATGTGTCAATGCTCGTGGCTTACTGGTTCCACTGGATGGGCGAGTTCCGATTCCGAGACCATATCATGATATTATTCAGCCCTAGTCTATCAAACAGCTCAAGTCTTAGTGGAGTACACGGCCACCTGTGCAAGTGGGTCGTCTATAATAACCGTTCTAGGCCTCAGCTGTTTGGACAAGTGGATGTATCAAGAAATCGGAAAATGTCTAAGGTGATGCTGCGATGCGTTCCAGCTGTTATATGACCATCTCGTCGCTGGCACCGAGCGGCCCACTTGAACAATCATCTTGTGGGCCGTGTAGACGTGCTGAAGATGCATGGATACTACCTGTTAAATGCATGATGCCAATTTAGTTAGACCTTTGGAGACATTGCTCCACGAATAAGTGCCCAGAAAACATTAAAAAGATGCAAAGAATAGAAACTTGTAGCAAGTGCACTTTACGATCTCGTATGCGGGTCATCCCACCTACCACGTGACACAGGCGAAGCGCGACGAGCTATACAAACATGAGCAGCTTAATGACCACCTGATGGAGGGTCGGGTTGATTCGGAAGCCTCTGGTGCCGATCCGGATGACATTTCCCTCAATGGAGCCGACGTCTTTGACCAGATTGAAAGGCAAGTTGAGTGTTTCGCAGGCACACAGTGGAGTGAGGGTAATATGCTTTCCGTCCAGATGTATGATCAAGCAAATCACGCTACGTTTGGGTATGCTTCTATTGGTATTTTCCCGGACAACAGTGTCGACTCTGGACTTCAGGACTTTGGGCCCCGAGGAATGCCTTTGACTGGCGGCCAGAGTTGTTGAGTTCGGTCCTTTGAGTCAATCGGGTAATCTGAAGTACAGTTGTATTCATATCCGGTGAACATACAACTGAGCAATGAGAAAATCGTTTAGTAATTGAGCTTTTTACAATAGCAGACAATGAGACAAATTCCCATGCTGTGCCACACACCCCCGTTGAAGGGCGCGGTTGATGAAACGCTGCAGTCAATTGCCATGGCCTATACTTATCTTCTACAATTACCTAAAGATGTCAAACAAGCTCTGTTATGGACATATCCCCTATATAAGCTTACTAGTCTAAGAACAAGAAAGAGCAATCAAACCCAATCCTTTGACCTAGGTCTCCGCTTGTCAGTAACATGACTTGTGGGTGGGTAATAGCGCTCAATAGCAGTCCTAAACAAATTAGCCTTTGGACGCATATGCCTATCACAGAAGTATACTAATTTAGATCCAACAAATGGCCAAAATCCCAAAGCATTATGGAAAAGATGTATACTTAACCACTGTCCCTTAGTATATGGCTTAACAAACATCGGCGCTGCACATCTTGCTATACTCGGAAGACTTTTTCATCAGACTGGTTCTCCCATGCTCTGGCTTCTGGTGAATTAGCTTCCAGCTTAGCTTCAACTTACACTGGAAGCTTTGAACGCCTCGTGCCCGTCTTAGTATTAAGCAAGGTTCCTCGCTTTCGCTGTGTATTTGATCAACATAAGGGGCTAGTAAGTTATATTGGGGGAAAATGCACAAATTGTATGTTTACGCTGAAGGCAAAAGCTGTATTTTATTGGCGCGGACGACCACGATTTTCCCGTCAATGGCAACCCTTTCAGAAGAGCTGCTGACCAGTCTTCTTAGGTTATGTGCACAACTGACCTTGCTTGGTGTTGAAAATCAGTGTGGGATTGTAAAAGAAATCCCTTGCTATGAGTGCGCCTGTTCAAGAGGCCAGTAAGCCTCGCCTGCTTATCCCAGACGGGGCCCTATAGTCTATGCAATGTTCCAAATCTCAACCTCTTTCCAACTTCAGTAACTTAATCTGGTCCTGGCCCGTCATAAGCATACGGACCGCGCACGAAACCAAAGTAGATCTGCGAGTCACCCAGCGCTCCGTCATTATACTGCCCTTTCATAAGACACTCCCCATAAGAGCTGAAGTAATCCTTCCGGTGTAGATGCATCTTGACGGATTTCAATGAGGGAAATGCTCGATCGTCTCCCATCGCTGCTTCAGCCAGATCCTCAAATTGCGGTATATACTGCCCTTCGTCCCAGATTCTATCCGAATCCTCCGCTCCATGGTAATCGGGAAGATTTAAACCAGTGAAATACTCCAATTGCGAGGGTAGTACATTCTTGAGACTCAGCCCATCATTCTCGCTGGGCTTACCCAGCAAGACCTCTAGCTGCATTACAAGCCCCTTCAACTTCGTGAACTTCTTCATGGATCCGAAAAGACCCCTAATGTAGCTGAACTCCTGCTCCTGCCGCCAGTCCTTATCGTCATTATTGCAGAGGCAGATTGAGAGGTATGTAAGCGTGTCCGCGGCGTGCTGCTCAAGAATCCGCTTTAGCTTAGGTGCGTCATGCTGAACAGGGAAGAAGACTGTTCCACTCATGTCTTCGAACCTGAGAGATTTCAGCTGATCAGTATGGCGGATTATGCTCTCTAGGATCTCCTCAGGTGGAGCGTAGTTGTGGCATGACGGGCCATCAGGGCCAGGGGCTAGCACGGCAAAGTCTAGCTTCTCCAAGCGGGGAAGACGAAGAAACAAGGCCATATTGGTGAATGTGTCGGTGTGGGTCTCCAATGTGAGAGACTTGAGGTTGGAGAGCTGGAAGAGCAGAAGCCATTTTCTGGTTTTTCGGGTTGATCGCGCGAGCCAGGAGAGGTCGTTCTTCTCAAGGGCGAGAGAGTGTGAAGGATCAGAAGTGAATTTGTTTTTGAGGTGGTCTGCTGCTCCGGCTAGGAGCTTTGATTCTTCTATCCTAAGCGCTCGTTGAACCTTTGAGTCTGAATATTCATTCGAATCTGAACCGGAATCAGAATCTGGATCCGTATTCCCCTCATCCTCTTCGTCAGATTCTGCCTCTTCGTCTTCTTCCAGGTGGATCTCCTCAACCCGAGCGGCAAGTCGAGGCCTTGGTATTATCGTGCGGCAAAGAATATTCACCCCGGTGTATGAGGGTGATTTAATTATTCTATACAAGACCTGGTCAACAATTCCTTGTATTGACCTGGAAATGAAGCGAAGCTTAAATGCCTCTTGAGGACGTTCAGGATCATACAGGTCATCGAGCAAAACATTGAAGATCTGGGTGTAGATTTCCAGAGGAAGATGGATGGTCATTTTTGAGAATAAGGATTATCGAAGGCTAAATCTCGCAGACATGGGTTTGTAGTCCTTCTTATACTTGACAGTGGGGACGCAGATCGTATCTCTCAAGCTCCCTAGCATGTGACTAATACGAGGTGTTGAATAACACACCGTGGTTAGTAGCCAATTACCATTTTCCTCTGGAGCATTAATTTAAATTGGCCAGAATAGTAAACTTTCTATGGCCAGCTCTGTATGCAAGGAGTATTAACTTCGTGAGCCTTAAATGCTACTATCACGCCACTATCACCTGTCAGGTTATATGGAGCTATATACATGACACTGAATGCTTTTAGCTTTCTGTGCTGCTAATTTACAGAACTACGCACTCATCTGGAAACTTACATTTTAAAAAACCATAACATGGTATCTAGTATCTATAGCCCTATCCTAAGATCCCTCTACTGAGTCTACTCTCTATCCTGTATAAGCAAAGGCTGTCTAACTTCCCTATAAGATGTAATCTAATAAAAATCAACCTTCTTAACCACCAAATTACCTTTATTCGAGGGGTAATAAGAGCCGTAGGAAGTTGGGAACCACGTGTATATGGCTTTAGAATATTAAATATAAGTATTCACTTATAAACCCTAAAATACTAGAAAAGAAGCAGATAAGTAGTAGTAGGAGAAGTACTAAGAAGATAAGAACTAGTTCTGAACATCTGTATAGATTATCTTTACATCCTTAATGATCTAAGTGATCTTACAGCCATAGTAATTAAGGTGTTAGAGAGTCTAATTAAGGAAAAAGGAATTCCAGTATTATCATATAACTATAAGTTATAGATTAATCTTATAGATAGTAAGCATATATATAAGATAACTCATACGCTATAGAAGATATTACTAGAGTAGTAAGGACATAAAGTCTAAGCTAGGGTAACATAGGTGTAGTAGGACAGCTACTTCAATTATCCCTATATCTATGACCCATTCTCATAGTAGATTTAATTACTAATTTACTACACGTAAATGAAGTCCTTTCTACTAATGCTACTATGGTGTCCAGTATATCACACAGTTAGATATCTTATGTAGGGAGTTCCTACTTCCAGCCCCATGTTATTGAGATACAAGAATACAAACTGGCTGCCGTCAAGTATCCAGGGGCGCGTTTCCCAGTTGCAGATATTTAAGATTTATATATTCCAATCTGCCCACAAGGTTAAGAAAGGGTAATAGCTTAGAAAAACTATTAATCAGCTTAGTTAAGTATCTTGGAAAGATCCTTTGTGATATCTCATTGCATCACTGGGCTGGAGATCATATCGAATCGCCTGGGCCCTTAGAATTGCTGTAAGGAGTGGTCCTAGCAAACAGTTGGCGTAGCTGAATCCTCTAAGAAGGTCTCCGTGGAACTTATCAAGGATATTGAGAGACTTGCTAAAAAAGAATTGGGCAAAGACTTTATCACCATCTAGGTCGATTCATATGTGTGAAGGAGGGTCGGATTCTCTAGGACTCAGTTGTAAATACATGCTATCCGGACTTGTGAGATCGCTGGGTGGCAGCAGTCCGAGGATACCGTCGCGAAATCTATCTGTCATACAGAGGTAGCGTCTCCCCAGCGCCTGGAACTTGATAACGGTGTTGTACCTTGACTCGTATTCAACCGAGGAAGAATAGGGCGGCGCAGCCGTCCTTGGCCATGGTTTCAGTCACCTTACTCTTCAATCATACCCCATCTCTGCCCGTTGGCAGCTCGGCAGGTTCCTCCAAATTATGGTTAGGTCTTCCTGTCTGTGTACGACGCTCCGTCTTCTGATCCTTGCCTCCAATTGGGTAGTCCTTGACCAGAAGCGACGACAAAAAGCATAGCGCGATCAGAGGCACAAATGATATGAAAACAGCGTGGAGTCCCGCCATGTAGACTGAGAGGATCAAATGCATCTCATCACGGGAGAACTCTGAATCCGGTAAGTTTTGAACACTGGAAGTCAGTCGAGCGATTACTTCCGGTGAGAATTTGTCTCCGAGGCCGAGTTGGAGGACATTGCTCAAGATGGCTCCGGATACTTGGTTTTGTCAGATGTGGAAACCATCAGGGTAGTAAGGGAAGTGTAACATACCGGTAATACCGACCGCTCCTCCCATAGCTCGAATAAAATTTCGAAGGCCTGTCATCACCGCACGGTCTTCATTGGCCGAGTTTGTCATCAAGGCGACCAAGACGGGCTGAAAGCAAAAGCCGACCCCTAAGCCTTCAAACATACCCACGACAATGAAGACCCAGACGGGCGTGTTCGGGCCATAGAACGCTTTGCCGCTGGTAGCAAGTGTCCAAATGGACGTTCCGCCTACGACGATAGGCCAGTACCGGCCGGTCCAAGAGAGGAGGAAACCACTGAGTCCGGAGAAGATTCCATGAGCGATCACCATGGGGAGGATGAGGGATCCGGCCTCGGTAGGACTCCAGCCTCGAACATTTTGGAAGTACATAGGCAGGTAGAAAAGATTGCTCCAGTAGACCCAGCCGATGGCAAGATTTTGCGCCAGCAAAATGTTGGCCGAGTAGCCGTTACTGAAAAGGCGCACTGTGAAGTATACAGCGTCAGCAACAGATTAGCGCTTACATGTGGTTCGGGCAACGTACTGGGTACGATGGGCAAGCGCACGACGCGCGATTCGAGAAATACAAAAGCTATCCAGAGCGCGCAAGCCGCCGATAACATGGCTATGACAATAGGAGAGCTCCACGGAAGCGCCGAACCACCCTGGGAGACGGGCACCTGTAGGTAAATCTGGTCAGCATGCTGATCAACATGGACTACGCCAAGGAGACATACTAATACCAGCACTACAGCCAGCACACTCACGATAACCCCGAACCAGTCCACCATCTTCAGCTTGGTCCACATGTTCCCGCTCATGCGCGAGGTGGGCAGCACGAAATAAAGAATTCCCACAGCCAGCGCCGCCATCGGGCTGATAAACCAAACCGCCCATCGCCACGAAGCCTGTTTCGTCAACACACCACCAATCACCGGACCCAAGCCATTTCCCAACGCCACGAATATTCCTATGATGCCAAAGTATTTGCCTCGTTGGGATAATGTTGTGATATCTGAGATGGTCACCTGAACCAAAGCGTTGATCGCTCCGGCGCCCAACCCACTTACCGCCCGAGTCACATACAGTTCGAACGGTGTTCTCGCAAATCCCGAAAGCAGATTCCCGAGTCCCATCACAGTGAGTGTTGCGATGAGGCAGTTCTTCCGGCCAAAGATGTCTGAGAGCCGGCCATTGATGAGTTGGACGCTGGTGCTGGAGATGAGGAAACTCGCTCCGACCCAAGAGATGGAGGAGCCGGCGTGCAGGTCTTGCGCAATGGAGGGCAGAGCCGTCGAAATGGCGGTTTGATCGAGAAACGACGTAAACTGCACAAAAGCTAGAGCTGTAAAGACGATAACAAGCTGGCGGGTCGGAAGGACATGGGTTTGGGCGTCCGTCGTGGATGATCCTAGGAGGGGAGTATCCTCGGTGTCAGGGCGATCCTCGTTGTGGTCTTCTTGGATAGAGGCCGTCATGGTAGTTAGATTTCGATGCAGAATTATTGAGCACGCCAAATGACGGGTCAACGGGAAGACGAGAAACAGCAGAGTCCTTTGGCAAGCTTCAAGCTCTTGAGACCCGAGATACCCATGGCAGCCTGTCACATACGTTTTAGTATTAGGGTTTGCATTAGGATCTATCCGAGTGCAGCGATGTGGGGTTCAGTGGATAAGCGGTAGAAAGGAGTAGTACGGACGCTTGAGCCAAAATGCCAAAGGCAAGAGACACAGTCCTATCCACGTGCTTTCTGTGCAGAATACTATTGGGAAAGGCAAAGGCCGAAAGCGAATTGGAAGTATTTCAGTTCCGTAGAAGGTATCACTTAGAAAGCTGAGCGGTGGAGCACAGTGGAATCATGATATCATGATCGTCCAGTCTATAGGGGGTGCCGGGAACGTCAATCGCCTTACGAGGTAGTATATTCCCCACAGGAGAGGCCAGATGGAGAAGGAGCGCCTGTAACGTCGAAATGTTCGCAGCAAGCCTCCATCCACAGCCCGGCGTCGTGAACAGTACATAGGAGCCACTGCACGATTCCATTTCCGTGATATTAGTATTTAAGGCAGATGTCCGCTTCGACGGTCGAAAGCTACACTGAGCATAACTCGAACATGTCCAGCAAGCTGTGAGAACGTAGAGCATTACCGTCTTCCATGATGCCTTAGACCGTTGGACATCTGCTAAGTGCCATAGCTGCCAATTCTTAAGTGAGAGCCAACGACGGTTCGGGCGAGACCGAGGACGGGTCTACCGCTTGGAAAATGCGGTAGGTAGTATGCATGCCGCCAAGAGGATGGCATGACAAATCCGCCTTGCATGTCATAGATATCGATAAAGGGAAATGGGGGCATTAACGGTCTTCTTGTCTAGGTGGTCCGGATTGTACTCGCAGCTTCACATAAGGGTTGCATAAGTTGCTCGCAACCATGCTATCCAGGGAAATATTAATTTCTACATATCACATACCAAATTTCCAAAGGATCTGCAATGCCGCCTCCTCATGAATAATTTGTAATCGGTGGTGCCATCAGTGGCTATGTATCTAGAATGTAACAAACATAGCTGGAAAAGTTGATGTAGAATGTAACAACCACCGCCGGAAGAGGGAATATTGTTGCAGTGACGTCCTCTACTGCGTAACGGCTATGGTTCTAGATCAAATCCTGGCTTCGGTCTATGAGCATCATGCGTTCTATCGGCATCAGATACACATAATGCTCATTTGGCGAATCTGCAGATGTAGGAAATACATAAGTGGCATAATTTCGTTGAATGTGTCAGGGAGATCGAAGTCACCTTCCCAAATCCACGACGGCGAGAGATATTGCAAAGCGTCTCTTACCACCTGGCCTAGACTAAGGACAACAGCGGATAAGCCTATCTTTAATCTTTTGACATCTCCCTTGCTTTCTTGACATGCCACCCGGAACGATCGCCGCCCAGGATGAGGCCCCCTTGCAGGCCATCGGAATGCCGCCTGGCCAGAAGGGTGCCTCGGCTAAATCACTCATCAAGGAACCCCTCAGACTGAGAGGTCTCTTGGATGATTACAAGTCATTTGATGTAACTCCCACCATTGGGACGGAGTTCCCTGAGGCCAACGTGGTGGAGTGGATGAAAGCCCCCAATTCTGATGAGCTTCTCCGAGACTTGGCGGTCACTGGTAAGTGTACAACTAGGCGATTATCTCTCAAAAGCTTGTAGCTGACCCCCCTTAACCAGTCTCTCGTCGGGGAGTTGTCTTTTTTCGCGCCCAAACCGACCTTACCGATGAACTGGAGAAAGAGTTGGCCCACCGCTTAGGCCTTCTCGCTCGCAAACCGCCATCCTCAACGCTCCACATCCATCCCCTTTCCAACTTCAACGGGGATTCGGACCGCCATCTCAACATCATCACTACCGACAAAGCCGCGGCACCTGCAGAAGATCTCTTCAAGAATCAGGCCGAGAGGCCCTTGGGTGCTCGAGGCAGTTGGCACACAGATATTGGCTATGAACCCAATCCCAGCGACTACACGATCCTAAAACTGGTCAAGCTGCCCAAAACGGGCGGCGGTATGTGTCTCCTATCCGCACCTCCCGCGCACAGTGTTCATCGTTGATGGCGTCTTTCACAGACACAATGTGGGCTTCCTCCTGCGAGATCTACGACAAAATTTCTCCTCCCTTCCGGAAGTTTCTTGAAGGCCTCACGGCGACCTTCGCCCAGTCCAGATACCCCAAGACCGCTGCTGAGAAGGGGTTTGAGCTATACACCGAGCCCCGTGGATCCCCGAACAACGTTGGTGATGCTCTCAGCACTGTCCACCCTGTTGTTCGCACCAATCCAGTCACTGGATGGAAAAGTCTCTACGGGGTAGGTAATCATATCGTCCGTATAAACGAGGTAACACCCGAGGAGAGCAAGCGGCTGCATGATTGGTTCTTGCAGATGATCGTGGAGAACCATGATTGCCAGTTGCGGCATCGATGGGAAAATCCGTATGATATTGGTAAGCGTTCTATCCCCTTTGGAATTAGTCTGCCCGACTTCTGACTATCTTGCAGCGATATGGGATAACCGATCTGTCTTCCACTCTGCTATCATGGACTTTGCTGGCATGGGCGCTCGTACTGGTCACCGTGCAGTCGGCATTGGTGAGAGACCTTACTTTGATCCAAACAGCAAGACTCGCCGCGAGGCTCTTGCTGAAGAAGCTAGGCAGTTTTAGAAGCTTGCCTTTGATCTACAATGAATAGCAAGCACTAGACTTTATGGAGCATGGCTTGCTTATTGCTAGCAGCTCTTAAATAAAATACATGGGGGGGGGGGGGCGAAGGTTTGGCCATAAACCCCATTTTCCCATGCAAACTTGAGTTCACTGAATTGCACAATCAATATTTATAATAGTACGCTTTTTGAGTTTTGCTTTAGGGTTTATCCATGCTAAAGCTATATTCTTTACCCATATCAAGCTTTCTGGGTCTTCTTAAAATGGAAAGTACTTTCAAGTCTAACTAGTACAAAACCACTAGCTACTGATCCACCAGCACGTGAAACAATCATGATTCCTGTAAAAAAGGTAATACCTCATAAGCTAGTATCGCCCAGCCGAGCCCAGCACATCCATCATTCTCTCTATTGATCTTGCGTAAACTTCTACCGCCCGGACCATAAGCACTGTCAATTCTAACGCGCCGGCATTCTCAGCAACAAAGCTGGTGTAAGCATCGCGGACAGTTCGGTTAAGGTTAATTTTCCGCACTCCGCAAGCAATAGTCTTTCGAAACAGTTCGGCCGACACGGGATGCGTTCCGTGAAGTGCTAGTGGTGTGGTGCCTGACACTAGCTTGCCAATGGCGGCAAGTCTAGAAAAGGCCGGAAAGGGGTTACCCAAGGCCGGAAAGAGACGGGAAAGGGTGGAGTTGCGCATACCGTTCCAGATCCCAGCATTCCTCCGCTCCACCAGCGGGGTAGCCACCATGAATGTTTCCAAATGATGGCGCCAGGAAGTGGACGCCTGTTCGACGAACAAACAGCTCGGCCTTTTCTGGTTGGGTCATGATGGCCTTCATGTCTACTGTAGGAAGACCATCCTCGCCACCTTCAATCCGGCCCATCTCCGCCTCGATGGTGATATTGAGTGCGCGGGCGCGGTCCACCACGTTTTTGCAGTGACATATATTGGCCTCTCCATCGAGCGTCGAAGCATCCACCATTATAGAATCGAATGGAAGAGTAAGTGCGAGGTCGATATCCTCTGGCTTAATGCAGTGGTCCAAGTGCACTGCAACCGGCACGCTGGCCCTGTGTGCAGCTGCAACAACGTAACGGACGAACTCCGGTCCCTGGAAATGCAAAGTCCAGGGAAATAACTGAATGATGGCTGCCGAGCGTTTCTGCTCGGCTGCTCGAATCACGGCCATGACACCGTCATTATTGTAGCTTGGGCAATGTTAGCAAATTTTCATCGATCAACGAGCGCTCACGGATCCATTTGCTGAAGGTTACACATGCCAGTTATAGGCTCCCACGGCGTAATCATTCTCATTGGCATGATTAAGAATTCTCCAGGTCAGATTGCTTGCCGGAAATGGAATGCGATCATTGGCCATGATGGAAAGGCGGTTCAGTAGGAATAAGCAATGGATATCAATTTGCGGATCACTGTTATTTTTGGGGAAATGCAAACATTATCACCCACAGTGCAGCGTTGCTGATCAATATAAAGCAGTTTGCTACATCTATGAGGATGACAGTATCTATCCGCTCGGCATTGGCCAATGTGTGCTCGATGTTACACGAAGACGTCATGACTGTCGGCTTCTGTCCATCGTTTCATACCCGCAAGCGAACACAACAGCTGCACCGCCAACAAAGCCAAGCTATTTTAACATATTCCATCTATTTGGTTATCCTACGTGTACATCCGCTTGAGATGAGCATTACCATATAGCCCGCGGTATACCATACTAATAGTGCCAAGTGCATTCCTGCTATTTACCTAACTGTACCGAATTTACAGAAGCCACTCTCGCTGGAAACATGCCGCATTTGCAAGATCCTAACACGGGCGGAAAGAGCGTTAAGCGGATTAGGACAGAGAAAGGGGAGTCTCCGAAAGAGGAATTTCAGAAACACTAAACTGCTCAGCAGCTTCACTAAACATCTTCCTCTCCGCCTCGGCATAGGGAATGCCTTCCTTCCGGCGTTGGATGCTCATTCGATGTTCTGGCTCTCCAGGGAAAAGCACCTCATTAAACCCCGGAGCAGGCGGGACTTGATGAACACGTTGGGCCAAGATGTCCATCCGGGCTTTGAATTCGGCGGTGGTGAGGAAAATATCGGGCTTAATAGCAATAAAACAGTGACCGACATTTTGGGGTCTGGGATCCTTATATTGATCCCCAATTTCACCTCCAAATGCGGCGCCTGATAAGACGCCAGACATGATGTCCATCAAGATGGCGAGCCCGGATCCCTTTGGTCCTCCAATTGGAGCCATGCTTCCATTCAACGCCACATTTGCGTCTGTAGTAGGCTTGCCATCGGGGCCAAAAGCCCAGCCTTCAGGAATGGGCTCCCCACGACGGGCGGCACGGCGGATCTTGCCCTTCGCAACGACTGAGGGGGCCATATCCAAGATATAGGGGACCTCGGTACGAGAAGGAGCACCAGCCGCAAAAGGAGAGATACCAAGAAGATTCTCCTTGCCACCAAAGGGCGGCATCTGTTTAGCTGAGTTGGTAAACACTAAAGAGATCATGTCCTTCTCCAGCGCCTGAATCACATATGTAGCAGCCATGCCAAAGTGATTTGAATGGTTTACTGTGACCATACCGATTCCGTAACTCTCTGCTCGTTTAATGGCTTCTGTCATGGCCTTGGTAGCGACAACGAAGCCGAAGCCGTTGTCCCCATCCATGTGAGCCACTGCGGGTGTTTTTTCGGTTAGCTTGAATTCAGGCTTTGCCTTGACACGGCCATTCCGGACGCGGTCCAGGTACTGGGGTAGCCGTGCTAGGCCATGGGTGTCCTACACGTAGCGTTACAAGGTTGCTGTAAGCAAACCACTGGGTTCGCTGATAATATGCAACTGGGTAAAACTTACGACACCGCGGACATCTGCCATAACCAAGCAATCCGCCATGATCTTGGAATCTTCTGTGGAAACACCAGCCTTTACTAGTAAATCTGTGGCAAACCGGGCTGCCGCTGAGGGGTCAGCGTAATAGCGAACCTACATCGAAAAACTCAGGATTATTAGTCTGACACAGCGCTTGAGCCGACACTTTTCGCCCATTGACCGGGGGACTCACAGAAGAGGCCATAATAAAGAGTCACTTTGCGTCAAGAGGCTTCGAAGAGAAGAGTTGGAAAGCTCTGCTACACCCAGCCAATATCGTTGTTAGGGCACAGCACTAGCCACCACCTATGTATAAGTAGTCTACGACTCCGTGGCAATTACATACGTAGCCCTGATGTCATGTGTGGGATGATAGTTGAAGTTGGGAACCACGAGTTCAGCAATGAACCGAAGCCAGATCGTAAGTCTGCCGGCGGCAAACCCGAGTTTCTGGATATTGCGGACTGGCCCGCCATAGGGGCCCATTAGCCATTGCGCCCTCATTGTATTTGTGTGGTAGACGCATAGACACGGAATGCACAAGGATTAAGGTCTTGTTCTTGCAGTTATCTATCTAGCCTATTAAGCCACAACCTATGTGCAATCGGCATGTTGAAACAATGGTGGAATCAAGCGATCTGATTGGCCCAATCGGAATTCCGAAAGTGTAGCACTTATCCGCAAGCGGTCAGTCCAGTTGACCATTGATTACCCCTCATACTTCCTTTAATACTTCTACCTCGCGAAGTTGACTTTCCCGCGACCCTTTTGTCAATTGCCACAAAACGAACCTTGCTAGACCTGATTCATGGCTGTCAAGATTGCAGTGCCAACGCCCATCTTGCTACGCCTTGCGCGTAAGCAAATTTCGACCCAAGTTGCCCCGAGACGCCTGTACAGCAGTAGAGCCCCGACAGTGGCCGTCTTGTTCCAGGATATTGATCCTCCGGTCATCAATGGTGTCCGCAAACCTCGCAAACCAGGCGGTCGGTATCTTTACTCATTCTCTTTGTTAACCGCTCAACTTTGAAACGTTTGGCTGAATTCAACCGTACAGGATATCAGGACTCCGGGGCGGACATTGCCTACACTCTCCAGTCCAAGGGCATCAAGATCATCACTCCCGAGCCGTCACCACAAGTGTCTAAACATGAGGGCTGGTGCTTTTCTGATACAGAAGATGGCATTCTCATGGCCATCCGAAACGGCGCTACACATTTATGGGCCAATACTATCCTCTTTGGTTCACACCCTCTACAAACGTCCCAGAAGCTGACGCCACAAGCGTCGGAGATCTTCGTCGTGGGACAGCCCCCTGCGCTCGTAGAGAACTGCGACGATAAAGCGTTTCTAAACGGGAAGCTGCGCGAGCTCGGGGGCTATACTTTGCCATGTTTTTGGTTATTATCAAAATCCAATAATCTGGACGAATTTGTCCATTCCATAGACAGGTTCCCTGTTGTAGGGAAACCAGTCCGGGGTCGTGGAAGCCACGGCGTCAAGCTATGTCACGATCCAGCGCAGTTGAAGCAACACGTCGAAACCCTTCTAGAGGAGTCGCCTCTCGTGATGGTGGAGGAGTATCTGACCGGAGAGGAGGCCACAATTACCGTCATGCCTCCATCGCCTGAGCGCCGAGAATACTGGAGTATGCCGCCCGTAACTAGATTTAACCACGCCGATGGCATCGCTCCGTACAGTGGCGTAACCGCGGTAACCGCCAACTCCAGGGCCGTGACAGAAAAGGAGATGGAGGATCCAGCCTATGGAACTATTATGGAGGAAAGTAAGAAGGTAGCTCAGCTTATCAGGGCCACAGCGCCTATCCGCGTTGATGTCCGCCGCTTCTCGGAGAGCTCGAACTTCGCCCTTTTCGATATTAATATGAAGCCGGTGAGATATCTCCGTTCCCTGGGAATCCTTGTGCACTCCTCGACAGTTGTGTCTAACCTGTCGACTTTAAAAACAGAACATGACTGGGCCCGGTCGTCCAGGCCGGGAAGATCAAGCAAGCCTGACGGCGATAGCTGCTGCTGCAATGGGTTGGGACTACGGAACCCTCCTTCAGAAGATCCTAGCGGGCGCTCAACCCCTGAGCGTCTTCCGCGACTATCGCAGTCCGTTCTGATCGCATTTGGCTTCTAGCTGGCGGTGCTTAAGGTGTTATGCAATGATTCTAGCATTGAGCTACTTTAATTCTTGATTTCTGAGATTAGTGCGCACCTTTGTCTGACTGAAGTCGATCCCATCAAAACCGGTCTCTAATGCCTTAGCCGTTGTCCAGGGTCTTCCTGATCAGGAATGAATGGTACGAAGAGGGAAGAAAGAGTTTGCATCCTCAGAGGACAATAAGGTACCATCGGAGGCCCAACGCGGAAAAATAACAATTGAATCGGGTGCTATTCGTTCTTCAAATACTTTCTTGTCCAGTTAGGGGACCTTGTAGCCATCAAATCCATTTACTCACTGGCACCAGGAACCGGCGCAAAATGCCACATGTATTCGTCCTCAGGCGCAACCTCAAAGTCAAAACGTACCAAGTCCTCCTTGTATGGGAACATATACGTGCCGGTCACCCTAATAGTTGCGAGTGATGATGAGCCTCGTTGACTAACGCTCATAAAAGGTATGGATTCAAGGATGCCCATACCAATGATGCTCTTTGCTAGCCTGATACTTCTGCAGCTCGTCCATGCTTTCGTGGAAACTGAGGAGGGCAATCTCAAACCCTTTGCTTCTCTCAATCGGGTCTGTTACAGATGGACCGCCAACGACCAACCGGTGACCCTTCACACAGTCCAAGTTTTTCAATCTCTTGAGCTCTCGGACGAACGTATCTTTGTGTTCTTGCGTCACTTCGGGACGAAACTTGAACATGACTACCGTCAGTGTGTTAGCTCTAGGAAAATCAGACGGGAAAGTAAAACTTGCTCTTGACTCACCCATGTGGACAATCGTCATTATAAGAAGCGATGAAAGTACTTCAATATCCTAGAGATGGTTTACTTCTTTGGAAGATGAAGAGGAGAGTAGAAAACCCCACGGACAAGTTGGCAAGACGTGTCGAAGTAGGTAGACGAAGCCAACGACGCATCACCAGGTATAGTACAGTTATAGCCGTACGATCTCCCAGGTATTGTCTCTCTAGGAAATAGAACGCCAAGCATATAGTAAGCTAGTAATACCCGTAGGCTGCTCCGCATCCCATCAGACCAGTGAGGTGGCATAATCCGGCGATGGTTCGGGTCGGCACCGCTCGACCGCTTGGTACAACCAAGCAGCCGTTTTCAGCGGTAGCGGAAATTTGGAATAGAGCTCATATGGCGTCTTGAACTGAATTAAGTGGCCGGCCATAGCATAATGCTACGTCAAAACCGCCACCACTATATGGTATATTCGTCTTCCAGATCGGAAAGTGACCAATCACACTTCGCGTTTTACAATATAGTATCGTTGTAGCAAGAGAAGAGGTCTATGAGAAGTAACTGCCCGAAAAGAATATCTAATTTGTAGGGTACTGAAATTTAATAGATATACAAGCATTTATAGATAGCCTCATAACCGATGCGCTGAAACCCTGGCTTCAAAAGGAGGGTCATGTTCCCGCAAAGGACGGTAATTACTGCCTAGCAGCGGCGAGATGCTCACGGGTCACGACTACAAGATGACAGGCATATCAAAACTGACAAAATGTACGGCGTGCCAGATAAAGGGTTTCATGAAACATAGAATGCAGGGCAGAAACAACTTTTGATATCATGGATATTAACGCCCACGGAACTCTCTAAACGCTGTCTCCACGGAGCCGCCTCCCTTGATAGCTTCTGCGCACTTTGCATCTGCTTCAGCAATAGCTGGAATAGCTTCCAAGACCTGCTCAGCAAGCTCCTGAGGTAGACACACAACGCCGTTTAGATCCGCAATGATATAGTCGCCGGGTTTAATCCACACATCCTGAACGTCTGAATTGAGCCGAACGGGCACGTTGACTTCCGACGGGCGGCATACTGCCCCTCCAGCGGTAGTGCCTACAGATTTTGCAAAGAGGGGAAAGTTAAGAGAACGGTGCTCGTCGAGATCACGAACACGTCCATCGATCACAACACCGGCTGCGTTGAGAGCCTGAGCCCGAAGCGTCATGAGACCGCCATAAACAGCATTTATGTGCGGGAGGGGTTGAGAAATGAAGACCACTGCGCCAGCTGGTATTTTGTCAATCTTCAAGCTGGGTTAGCAAAGCATCGAAATTATTGTCTTTGTTGATTTGGTCCAGGTCACATACATAGTTTCCTTGAACCTTGGGTGCGGCCTCGTCCGACTTGCGAACAAATTTGACAGTGAACGCCTGCCCGACGATTTTGGTCTCTCCAGCCTGAAACTCGGGTGAATACATAGTCAGTCCTTCGAGGAATCCTCCATTAGGGTATTTGAGCTTTGAAAGACCGTCGGCAACCTGGTCACGTACTGGTTAGTTACCTGCTAATGGTCATATCGCTTTCAAGTTCCTCGCCAGGAATGAAGGGCTCATATAATACTTACATCGCAGGTACCCCATCGTTGTAGATTTGCGATAATATTTCTCGCGTCTGCGGACATCATTAATTCTGGTAGTATGTTGGGGAGACATGGCCTCCGCAGCGTATTCGGTTGTGTCCTAGCAGTATATAAGTGGTATGGTGCTTTCTTGGCTGTTACCCTCACGAGCCTCCTTCCATATCGTAGGGATCATGCAATTCGCGGAACCCGTTGGCATCATGGTGTAATGGCTGCAGTGAAATCACGATCCAACGGCGGGTCGACAATTGGCGGACGGAGGCCAAACCGACGGCAGTCTTGGCCCATGTTGTGGCCGTTTCCGGACATCCTAGCTAGATCATCCGGGGGAAGTGAATTTCAGACGATTCCATAGAACGCACACACCAAAGATCCCTTGGATGGAAATATTTTCTCGGTGGTAGTCAGCTGCACACTGGACTCCCTCCCGGACGTGTCTCACTTGAAGATTCTTTCCGTGACAGCGTACTAGCCGTCAATCAGTACTTAATACCAAACGCCGTTGCCCCCGTCCCGAGGACTCAGCATTGAAAACAAGCTTGCAAACACTCCTGAGTACGCATGCCCTGATGTGACCATCTCTTGAGTTTCTGTCCGTGAAGCTAGGCGAAATACAATCAACATGGCGAGCGTACCCCTTCAGACAGGGACTTTCCCGAAAAAGCCCGTGCCACCCGGCGCATGGGATACCCATCACCACATATTCGAACCCCACCGCTTCCCCTACGCTGAAGGTCGACACTTCACTCCCGCTCCCGCTACGCTGGAAGACCTACAGGCGTTTGAAAGGGCCATCGGAGTCGATCATATATGCATCGCACATGGCCTCTCCTACGGCCCAGACTGCAGCTCCCTTCTCTACTACTTAGGCCTTTTCGGTGGCGAAGCAAGGGGAATCTGTGTTTTGGACTTAGAGAGCGTGACAGATGAGCTTCTAGACGAATACCACGCTGCGGGCGTCCGCTCAGTGAGACTGGATTTCAATCGACATAAAGCGATGGACAATGTCGACGTCCAAGCCCAACTAATCGATGCCACATCCAAGAGACTGGCCGAATGGGGCAGCCACCGATGGAGTATTCAGATCCAGCAGCCACATTTAGAGTTCTGGTCACATCTACGCGACGTAGTGAATAGGAGCTCGGTGCCGATCGTGGTAGACCATTTTGCCTTGGTCGCTGGAAGCAGCTACAGGGCCAATGATCATAGTACAAATATCCAGAACGAGTCATACCTAAGCGAAGCAGAATGCGTCGGACTAGAAACGCTCTGTGAAACACTCAAAGATGGAAACTTGTGGATGAAGCTCTCTGCTCCTTACCGATGCTCAAATCTTGCGCCGGAGTATAATGACTTGCGATGGATTACAAGGCGTTTTGTCCAGTGTAACCCGCGACGCATGGTTTGGGGGAGTGATTGGCCTCACACACAGCGGCATAAGGACCGCGCTGGTAGGAGCACTACCAGCGTGGAGCCGTTTCTTAAAATTGATACCAGGACTTGGATTGAGTCTCTGAGTCGATGGATGTCGGATGATGAGTGGCACCTGATGTGGGTGGACAACCCAGCATTGTTGTATGATTATCAATGTTTACAGAAGAAAGCATAGTTGTAATAGATATATCTGCATAACACACTCACACATACCCTTGTATTTTTTTCACATTCGCCGACACTGCATCTGCCACCTGATCCGTGGTCGCTGAACCTCCCAAGTCAGGTGTCAATGTTTGTCTCTCTTCTACGACTTGGGCTACGGCTAGCTTTATCGCTGCTGCTTCTTTCACGTAGTGGGCATGCTCCAGTAGCTCCGCGCCAGAAAGGATCAATGCTAGAGGATTCGCGGTGCCTGTCCCGGCTATATCTGGAGCTGCTCCATGCGTTGCTTCGAAAGTCGCAAAATGATCGCCGATGTTTGCGCCGGGTGCCAGGCCGAGTGAGCCAGCCAGTCCAGCCGCCAGATCGGAGAAGATATCGCCATATTGATTGAGAGTTACCACTACGCTGAACCTCAAGGGGTCGCGGACGATAGCATAACATGCCGCATCGATCATGATGTCATCAGCTTCGATGTCAGGGTAACGCTGTGCAACATCTCGGAATGTCCGCAGGAACAGTCCATCGGTAGCATGGAGAACATTGGCCTTGTGGAGGCATGACACTTTCTTTCGGCTGTGAGTCCGTGCATATTCAAAGGCGTACTCGGCGACCTTCTGCGACGCGGTGAGGGTAACCCGCTTGATAGCCTCTGCAGCGGTACCGTCCTCCAGTTCCCGTTCCCAGCCAATGTATATGTCCTCTGTGATTTCACGCATTATCACAAGATCCATCTTTTCATGACGACCAGAAATACCTTTGTATCCTCTAATGAAGCGAGGGTTGACGAAAAGCTTCAACTCCCGCCGGATCGCATTATTTATAGAGGGGTAGGTTGCCACAGAGCCGTCTGCCTGAGGGCAACTAATACGCCCTTCAAGCTTTTCTGCGAGTAAGGGAGCCTTGATGCACAACTCAATGTTTTTCAGACACTCGATAACTTCAGATGGTAGGGGGTGTCCGTATAGCTCTCTAGCCTCATTTGCAACAGGGATAAATACCCATTTAGGTTGAACTCCTGTCGCTTCAAGGACTCGCATAGTGGCCGCTGAGATTTCTGGGCCGATACCATTGCCTTTAATCACGCCGATACGCATCTTGAACCAAGACTAAGGGTCAAAAAAGTGGACTTTAGGGTAATAAGATGTGGATGATCCTATTCAGAGAAAGCAAGAATCTGACAATTTCCCGCCATCACTATAAATAAGTCAGACCTCTGGAAAGAAAAAGTCTAAAGGAAGTAAAGTTTTTCGGTTACCCAGCAGATTCTGGTACACGTACGTCATTATGGCAACAACCCACAATGGTTCCGACAAATGTGATACTCTAATGCCTGTCTCTTTAACTGCTTAATGATTGCTGCAACTAGAATTGACACAACAGACCGCTCAGCCGCTCAACTGCCAAGTAATATATACATACATGATTGTTTCAACGACAACCTGAGTTGGCTTCCAACATGACTGTATGCCTGCAACACTTTCGCTCGACACATGATATTCCGAACGGTTACATATTTCAGGTTCTCTCGTTGGGAAAATTGCAAAGTTCGCACAGAGATACTCCTTTGTATCTTTTGTTCCTTGGTTCCATATTTGCATTTTTATTCTCATAATGGTGTCAGCCTCCCCTTTACTGCAAGGTGGTGAGGAAGTGGAAATATCACAGACCTACCAGACGAGGCTCTTAATTGGCGGTCAGGAAGCTTTGGCGTATCCTATATCATAATGGAATTGCAATTATGTATCTAAAAGACCAGAACAGTGGTCACCAGCTGCATATAACTAATAGTAAAATAACTATTAGATATAAAGCTAGATGGGTGATCTATATTTTCTATTAAAGGTTAGTAATTAATTTCCTAGAAACCTTTTCTTCTATCTGCAGAACTAAAACCTAGCACGGTATGGACGTCTCAAGGCTCTTGATTTTGAAATGAAGAAAAGTCAGCCTTTGCTACTCCACAGATTCGCTTACAGATAGCGGAGACAGACAGCAAAGGTCGTCTCGCCAAAACTATTCTTTTACCATAATGTATATATGAATATATACAAGTCAATCTAACCATCTTACATACGCCACTATCTCGCACCCATATCTATTATCTATAACACAGAACTTGTCACTGAACTAAAGAATCTGTCTAAATGTTGCTGTTTCTTAATGCTAGGCTGTGGCCTCCGCTGCCCATAATAACCAGCTGGATAAATAGTCTATGGGATAGTCTGATTGCACAGGGAACCCCGTCACAGCTATAAAGGCAGAGGCTTCTATAGCAGCTAGCATATTGCCTAAGGCAGCACATTTGCTATTATTCACATCCCACTCTGAGAAGCTATTATTATCTGCGTTTACTAAGACACCTATCCTATTCTAATAGATGTCGGAGCCCCCTAGATACAGTGGACTCACATCATCAGGCACCTTGGATGAGAGTGGCAGGTGTGGGTAAATATTATGTAAGGCCTTTTGCATGTACCAGGCCAGTGTGTATATGGCATAGTTATCAGAGTTGTATTAGGTCTAACCTTGGCCAAAGTGGGCCAGAGCCTTGGTTAACTCTGACCTATAGGTGTATACCCACTTAGTATACAGAGGATTAGTGAGCTATCTGATCTTGAGGTTGGTGATGTATGGATTGCTGTTTAGTGACTCCTGTTAATATAGAACAGCTCATGGACCCAGACTCTCACCTAGTTTAAATAATAAGTATTCAGATTGGCCTAGGTGCTGGTGGGGAGTGTGTCTGGATAGGCATAGGTATTAATCTTATAGTCTAGTGTGTTAAAATTAAAGTAGCAGTCGCAGATGTTAAAAGATGGTATGTAGTATTTGGGATTATTATTACTGTGTAGGTAATAGTGCTAGTGTTGATTAAATGAGGATAGTCTTTAAGAAAGCTATTATAATGAATGGCTAGCTTACATGCAAACTAGCTACCCTAGTATAGTTGAATAGTTGAAAACTACTTGAAGGCAGTAGTAAACTTAGCCTATAGGTCTCTTATTTCTGCTGGTGCACCTAGAAACTTAATAGTAGCACCCTTATTAAAGTTAATACCATTGTCAGCCTTGGTCTTTATTAGGTTTATAATCTTCTATAATTATTGCTACCTGGAGAAGATCTCCCTCCTCTAGAACTAGTTATATCTATTGAAACTAATTAACTGTGTTGCTAGGTGTGACAGGTTGTAAGTCTTGAACTAGGAAATATTATAATTACTTATTGCTAGAGCCTCCTTAAAGAGCTGCTTGTTTTCACCATTATCTGGGTCAGGCAGAGGTGGTCTGATGACTATTAGTGGTAGGTTTAGATCTGGATATGGCCCTTTGTAGCTATCTAGGCCTCTAGGACACTTGTTGAACTAAGTATTTATAATAGTAGTTGTGGGATATATATTATAGTAGTCAGTGTGCCTATTAGCTCTGAGCTTTAGGAAATAGATGTTTTTACTGTGACTATGTCTATTAAAGTGAGTTCCCTAGCTAATCCATGTCATACTGCTGCCTGCTACAGGAATCAGGCTACTGTTCTTCTAGACCTGGACTTCACCATTAAACTTATTAACCTAGATAAGATTAACACACCTATTGCTGGTGACCTATATTAACCACTATTAGTTAGTTAGCTCTACTAAGACTTAAATTATCTCCTATACTAAGAAACCCTGAATATACATTAGCCCACCTGAATTGGCTCTGTTGAAGTTACCTTTTAGTGTAAACTTGATCTGTCCCAGATCCTTGTCTCTGCTTGCAGTGTATAGGATAGCCAATAACTTACTGTCTGGTTTTATATAGATGTAGTCAATGCGGCCGTCGCTGTCTATATAGGGAGAGGTTTAATTAGATATATGAACTGATTATTATCCTAAGGACAGCTGTCTGCCTACTTATCTAGGTCTCTAAATTACACTGCTAGGTTATAAAGACCTAGACCCCAGCCTAGAGTGCACGCGGGCGTAAGGGGAGGTATAAAGACTAGTAAGGTAAATATAGGAGACTTATCTCCTTCCTTATATATATTACACCACATCTCTACCTAACCTGTGCGCCTCTCTATAGAAAGGATGTTATAAAGACTATCACCATCCCAGTTGCCCTGATTGTTAGGTCTAGTTAGTGTAGATTCTGGCGTACCTGGATAATAAGATGATGATTTAATATAAGGATTATAAAGTGGATGCTCTTCCTGTCCCTATTAATATTAATAATTAAATGATGTACTCCCCAATCAAGCGGACTCTGGAGGTTTTTAAATAGTCTGATCTTGCTATTAGAGTGTACCCAGAGGTAATCTATGTATTAAATAAATATTAGTTTAACCATCTAACAGAGCAGGTAGTTAATAAGGGATATATATACATACTATTATAGCTATATCTAAATATATTATAATAGAATACTCTATCTCCTTTAAGCTTTGTGCCCCCAGATCCCTGGTTCTTAAAAAGAGTCAAGTCTAATAATATAAAAGCACCCCCTGAGCTGGAGGGCTTGCCATTATATACCTATATACAGTCTACTTATCTACTTCCCTTAATTTGACCTAAAATAATATTAGTTTGCTCTTCAGATCCTATGACCTGCTTGTATCCTAAATAGACCCACTCTAATACAGGCAGATACTGCTACTATTATAGTTCTGGTCTCCTTACTTATTAATGAAGATCTAGGATGAGCCTCTAGGGGATAGATAAATATAATCTGCTCTGCTGTTACTATTAATGTTGATAAGGTTGATACCTGCGATCCTGTTTTCTTCATATTAAGAAAGAGAAGTGTTATTATTTTTTACCTAAGACAGTTAGCTAAAATAGCATAAGAAAAGAAAGAAAAAGAAAGAAAGAAATATAAAACACTTACTATGCTTTTCTAATATCTATTATACTAGTTTATTGGTGTATTACCCATACCACTAGTGCGCCGGCAGAAAATATCACTAGTATCATCCAACACGCAGTAATTAAGACATATTCTATGAAAGGAATTGCTGCTATAGAGCTAGATCTAGCCTAGCCTAGAGATCCCTTAGCAGTCATACCACATCATTCACTGGAAGCAGAGTTCTAACACTAAGGCTTATCTATAATAAAAATGGCTGAAACCTTTACAAAAAACCATGATTAGGTTTCCTTGTGAATCCACAGGCATATATAGCTCTTATCTATATGCAGCTTTAAGTATTGCATCTAGATTACTTATTGCACTAGCTGTGGATGAATTAGTTAACTGTATACATATTGCTTTCTTATCTATTATGTTTTATTAACATCACCACTAGGATTTCAGATTTTAGTTCTAGTATGTTAGCTGTTACTAGTAGCCTCCAGCTGCTTGAATTGTAGACTATATATTTAATATAAAAACCAAGGACTACTACTCCCTATTCTAGTCATTATATCTGCCTTGCCTATCTCCCTAGAATGTCTGACATAGATAGTCATAGTATTATCTACATAAGGAATCTACCCTGTGGCCTACTCTATTGCTGCTATATCTTACTTGCTATTAAGATATCTACTGTCCTCCACAAGCTATATATAAATAGTTATATAATTTACTGCTGTGCTGCCTGGGTCCCTTTCTCTAATATTAAGAAACTACTTATTAAAGACTTGGTTTGTTAATTTCAGAGCATAAATAGAGCCTATATTCTTAGATAGCTTGGTCTATTTAACTGTCTGTTTATCCTAGAAGATTTAGACTAGTATATATAGAAACCCTCTGCGGCCTTCCTGAGGACTATAAAGAGATTTAATAGTTAATAACTAAGGTGGTAAATCTAGTAGTGTACTAATAATAGCTTATGCATGATACTATGTATTACTATAGGTCAGAGTTTAGTCAGATTTCTGGTTATGGATTATAAGCATTTATGTGGACAAGGTTAAGCTATTCTAGCAGTATCTTTAGTGACCAAGATTGCTAAGGGTAATTACTATCTGGTTAACCTGTTGATTAAGAACCTTATAATTCTTGGTTGCATGTAGACACACTTATTGTTAAGTGGTGCATGCCTTAGTTATTAGGTCTAGCTACCATAGCCTAAGCTAGGAGCAATAGGATTACTAGGCTAGCTAATGATTTATTAAAAA